ATTCCGTAAATCTGTCAAGAAGGGTCAGGAAACAGCACCCTCAGAGGGACCGGGGTGGACACGCAGCCCAAGGCGCTCAGCTCCCTCGCACTTCAGCTGAGGAAACCTTAACTGGAGTCTCTTTACATCTGAAGCCTCTCAGAGTGTCTCCTCAGCTACAGACAGGAGTTATACGCACAGCCCATTGTCCCTTGAGTGATAAAAGAGGCCCTGGAAAACTCCAGAAAAGGCTCAGGAAAACATTGACTCGAGTAGATTGGAAGTCATTTTGGGGCTGAAAGGTTTCCAGCTTAAGGTCCTTACTGATCATTTCCCAGCATCCTCTGTGTGGGTTCAACTTGAAGCAAAAACATCGGTTCTCAAGGTTTCCCCCAAAGTGCCTGTGAGGACCAGGAGTGGCCGTGGATGGCCAAGGGGTGTTTGCTACAGAAGAGAAATGTCTTTGAAGTCTTGACTAGACTGTTAAGAATTCTGCACTCCACTTTATAGCTGTATTTTAATATAACAATTGAAAACTGGCACTGGGTCTCTTCCTCTCTGGGTTTGGTGCTGGCTTGCGTCAAAATGGCCAAACACACCAAGAAAGTTGGCATCATCGGTAAACACGATATTTGTGATGGTGCCTCACTCAGGAAGATGGTAAAGAAAAGTGAAATCAGCCAGCGTGCCAGGTTCACTTGCTCCTTCTGCTGCAAAACCAAAATGAAGAGACGAGCTGTGAGCATCTGACACTGTGGTTCTTGAATGAAGACAGCAGCTGGTGGTGCCTGGGCCATGGGAGTGAAATCTGCCATCAGAAGACTGACGGAACTGAAAGACCAGGAGAAGCTCCTCCATTGAAGAATCTGTAGCCTGTAATAAATGGGTTCATTTATGTAAAAAAAAACACACTGAATTTTCCTCAATTTTTTCAAAATTCTTGAGGAAAACTTGACACTGGTCTAGGCTGTTGTGTCCTGTCCCTTCTTAGCGTTGAATCCTGGATACACAGCTGTGGGCCCCACAACCCCGAGTTTGCTTTGGGGGCCAGAAGAGCCTGCTGTCACCATGTTTCAGGACTGGAAAAGGCTAGAAAAGGCCACAGCTCCCTCAGACAAAAACAAAGACACAGGAGCTTAGAGCCTGGAAATGGGCTGACCGTGGCCCCGAGTTGGGGGCATATTCTGTAAGGGCAGGGACAGTAATTAGGACTCTGGGCTCCTTCTGCCACCTGCCTTCAGACAACACTTCTGAGCAGACGACACTGGCGTGGCTCAGTTACTTGGATGCCAAAGCTCGGTAAACTCAGAGCCTTGGGCTTTGAACTCTGTCCCAAAAGCCAACACAAACTCTATAAACAAAAGGGCAAGAGTGACATTGTCCTTTTCCTCAAATAGAAGTAGATGGATCGTGTGAGAGTATTTGTTTGAGTGGGGCAGGCATTGGAACATACCGCACCGTGGAGCAAACTTGTAAACAGAGCCCCTTCTGCAAGACCCTTGAACTTGCATCTGTGGGAGAATTCCTATCATCTGCCAGTGTTTCTGGACAAGACACTCTATTGCCATCTGCAGGGGAAAAAGCTAAAATAAATGTGCAAATCTATGATCTCTGCAGTGAGCGGCCCCTCCTTGCATGCAGTGCACAACCTGTACTACTGTACCTGGTTGTTGTTGTTGTTGTTAGGTGCCATTGAGTCGAGTACTATTCTTTTTTTTAAATTATTTTTGTATGTGTATGGTCAAATCATTCTGACTGGTACAGGAGGAGATTGTTCCTCCTTCTCCAGCAGAGCGTCTGGTGGATTCTAACTGAGCACCTGAGTACTATTCTTAGTGACCCAATGAACAACAGATCCAAACTCTGCCTTGTCCTGTGCCATCCTCACACTTCCTGACACACTAGATACTGTTGCGGCAGTCACCATGTCAGTCTGCCTGGTTGAGGGTCTTCGTCCCCCTTCACTGACCTTTTGCCTTTCCTACTATCATGTCCCTCTCCAAGGAATAGCCCTTCCTAGAAACATGCCTGGCACATGACCCTTAACCTCTCATTGCTTACGTTTTTCTCTCAATAAAGTGCTGGCTGCAGTCAACCATACGTGATAAAAAGGGCAACATTTCCCAAGAATGGGCCTCAGAGGCAGGAAGAAGGAGGATGGAGAGGAGTAATGAAAATGGGAGTCACAGGGAGGGAGGAGGAAGAGTGAAGATACCTTGTGGGTGTTACAGTCAATGTCCTGGAGCACAGTGTGTAAGAGTTGTTAACTGGAAGACTGTGCTTTGTAATTTTTCACTCAGATCACACTAAAAAAGTAAAGGGTTTTAAAAGAAAGGAAAAAAAAACACCAAAAAACGTGCCCCATCCCATTCCTCGTTGACACCACTGGAAATGACGGGTCAGCATTCCTTTGGCACTGGAGGGGAGACGGTCAGTTCTTGGAGGCAGTTCTCTTGATACCTCTCACTGTTAGCTGACCCGTTAGCCACCTGGAGGGATAGCTTGATGCTGCTGACAGCAAGCTGGTGCTGGCGGCTGACCCCCACCTGCCTCCCCTCTTCTGAGGGACTCGTGATCGTGACGGTGACCGTCTGATGGGGCTTCTCTGCATGCTTAGCTTATGGTGAAGAAGGATGAGGATGAGGAAGAAAGAAGTTAGATGCGCTGTTGAGCTGAGTTTGCTTTCTAAGTTGTTTGGGGTTTTCCACTTGCCTTCACTGTTGGCAATAGACTGCAGAAATGGCTTGAGAGGTTTCAAACAGAACTGTAGGAATTCAGATAGACCTATAAGCTGAAGACATTGTTTCACCACAGACATGTGTGCAGTCGGCCTGCCAGCAGGGGGACCCAGTGTCTGCCTATGTGAATTCCACTGTTCAGGGTGATTATTGTTGTTGTTGTTATGTGCCGTTGAGTCACCTGTGACTCACAGCGACCCTATGTACAACAGCCCTAAACCCTGCTCTATCCTGTGACAGTCTCACTGTCTCTGACACACATACCCCTATTACCCCAATCACTGAGTCAATCCATCTCATCAAGGGTCTTCTTCTCCTGCTCTGTCCCTCCACCCTCCCAAGCGTGACATCCCTCTCCAAGGACTGATCCCACCATGCAACATGTCTAAAGTATGTCAGATGAAGCTTCAGAGTCCTTGCGTCCAAAGAGCAGCCGGGCTGCACCCTCTCCACAACGAACTTGTTTGTTCTCTTAGCAGTCCATGGTATATTCAATACTCTTCTACCCCACCAGCGCTCAAAGGCATCAGTTCTTCTCCTATCATCCCTAGTCATTGTCCAACTTTCTTATGCATAGCAAGTAATTACAAAGACCATGGCCTGTATCAGGCACACTTTAGTCTCCAGACTGTCATCGTTGCTCTTCAGTACTTTGGAGAGGTCTCTGACAACAGACTTTACCAATGCAAGTCGTCTTTTAATTACCTGGCTGCTGGTACCAAGAGTGTTGACTGTGGAGCCAAGCAAACTGAAGCTGGCAACAATCTCAATCTCCTCACCATCCATCATGATGCTGCCAAGTGTCCCAGTGGTGAGAATCTTTGTTTTCTCGATGTTGAGCTTCAATCCATATTGAAGGCTGCAGTTCTTGACCTTCTAGATGCAAACCTGAAGCAAACGCTTCAGGTCCTCCTCAGTTTCAGCAAGCGCAGTTGTGTGATTGAAATAAGGATTTGGGTTAAATAGTTATCTTAGGGAGGAGCTCTGATGGCCTAGTGGTAAGAAGCTGTACTACAGTACCAAAGGCACACAGTTCAAATCTACCAGCTGCTTCATGGGAGAGAAGGATCAGTCAATTCTGACTTGACAACACACAGCAACAGTTTTCTTGGAAATGTCTCAGGAAATGAGAAAGAGGCAGAGAAGTGAGACAGGAAAATAAAGAAGCTCTGTAAAGGCTGTGTTCTTGGGCTGCTTCCCACGGTGGGTGAGGTACTGGCTCCACTGGGAAGTTCGGGGGGAACATGAACCTCATGGTGGACCACCCACCACCCAAGGAGAGAGCGAGCTGGGTGGGTACTGGTGTACACTCTTCAGTCAGTCATGATCAAGTGCAGTGCAAGCAGGGATGTGTGGCTTAGAGACAGTGCTGGTGAGCACTGGACGCAACATGCCCATCTCACTGACCTGGGAGGAACGGTGAGCTTTGGGCTGCGGAAAGTCACTTACACAATTCACTCCCCTGTAGTGTTTGTACCAACAGTTGAGAAAAACCAGAACCTCATCTTAACCGTGTATGAAAACCCTAAAGCCAAACACCACATCAAAAGGGGGGAGGGGGAGTCTTTTCAGAACCAAGATAAAGGAAACCAGGTCAAAAAGAAATGACACTTCTAGGGGGGACACACACAGAGGACTGAAGTGTATAGACAATGTGAATCCTGCAGGGTTGAGAGGGACGAGGCGTGAGCATCACTGGCAATTTGTGTAGCAATTGTAGAGTAGGAGCCTAGGCTGCTGAGTAAACCTTCACAATTATTGTGTTGTTGTTGTTAGGTGCCGTCGAGTCGTAGACGATTCACAGCGACCCTATGAGCCAAAGGCCTGAGCACTGTTCGTACTTAAGAGTTTCTGGAGGCAAGCCATTTCGGAAGTGGATGCCGCTCCTGCTTCCAGGCTTGTTTTAGTCAGGAAGCTCCAGCAAACACTGTCCATCACGGGTAACCATCACCACGTTTGGCATATCGGTGTCCCAGTGTTCAGCATCACAGCAACCACCATGTGGTGCACAGTAGAAGTTATATGAAGTTAGAGGTTCAAGTTTACCCAGAGACATTTCCAAATAAAAGTTTGGCTGTCTTCTTCCCAAAACTCAGTGGTCAGAGGCCCTTACAGAGCAAGTTCTGCTGTGACTCACAGAGGCCGCGTGATTGGAAATGAACAGTAACTCATATGGGGCTGTTGTTTTCTTCTCACAGGCCAGCTGCCTTGGCTCGAGGTGCCTGATGCCCCCCCATCCCATCCCATCATTTCAAACCTGACTCCTCTTTTTATGCCTTTCAGATGGGCTTCTTCCGCCGAAGGTACAAAGAAATCATCGAAGCCGAGAAGAACCGGAAAGAGAACGAAGACAGTTGGGACTGGGTCCAGAAAAACCAGTGAGCTGCCACGCCAGTTACGGGCCCCACTCCTTCGCCTGTCGCCCTTGATCTTTGTATCTTCCATATTTGGAAGAAAGAATCTTCTCCAGATTTTTCGGAGGCCCCACTGAATGCTGTTCTCCTCACTTAGCCAAGTCCCCCCACCCCCGGCGCCAGCCCAAGGCCGCCACCGTGGCCAGGTCACTATGGGCCCCAGCCGCTGCCACTTCCCGGCACAGAGGCACCGACTCTGAACCCTGGGAGGCGAGCGAGAGAGCCGAGAGATATTTATGGATGCGACGAGCATGATTCACCCTCAGGGGAAAACTGTTACCTAAAGTATTTTTATAAACACAAGCCTTTTATACTGATTATGTCTTTATATTTGTATCAATGTTTTATTATTAAATAGTTCTATAATTCACTCAAGCACTGATACCTGGCCTGAAGCCTTGGCAATGCATGTGTATATACATACAAATTGTAAAGGAGAAAAAAAAGTCTTCTTGTGCTTCAGAACTTTCTGTTACGTCATGGAACCTCACGTCACACGACTCCACCAAGCTGCCCGTGTGGCCTCTAAACCATGGCCGTGGCAAAGACCTCCTAAGACAGCTCACATCTCTGTTGCCTAAAGTCACGTTCGTTGAAGTAGCGTGCTGGTGGACTCAGTGGTTTCTCACACGGACCTGGCACTGGGAGATTCCCAGCAGGAATATAGATGGAAGAACCTGCTCCCTGACATCAAGTCCGCTCTGCATCCCCTTTCCACGGTGGCCTTCTCGCCCTGCCTGCACTTGGACTTGCTGAGGACAGCGTGGAGCAGGGTCAGCCGGTCACCTGGTCAACCTCAGAATGGCGTTTTCCTCCCTGGATGTCATGCTTCGGAATCCACACAGCACAAGGACTCGTGTTATGTACTGTGAGACGTTGCTTTTTCGTGGGCCACCGAGGTGGCAGTTAGGTGCCTTTGAGTTGATGCTAACTCACAGTGACACACACACACCCCAATCCCCTGGTGACAGAGCAGAACTGCCCCATAGGCTGCCTTGGGCTCTGATATTTACGGGAGCTCACCAGACACGTTCTCCCAGGAACCACGGCGTGAGTTTGAACCTTTCGGTGAGCAGCCTTGAACTGTCTGCGCCACTGAACCAAACCCCGAAAATCACTCCCATTGAGTCAGTTCTAACTCCGGGCGGCCACCCCAGCAGGTTTCTGAGGCTGAGGGTGCTTACAGGATGGGGCTGCCTCATCTTTATGCCGTGGAGCAGTTGATGGATTTGAACCTCTGACCTTTCAGTTAGCAGCCCAACTTGTAATACACTGTACCACTTGCGTGTCCGTTTCTGCTGTCAGTCTCGCTCTCCCAGCTAATGGTACCTGCAACTTCCTCCCCAGAGGGAGGGTAACTTTCTTTCAGTCTTTGTTTCTTCTAAAAATGCCTGAGGTGAGGTTCCCAAAAAGCAGATGCTCAGATAAAAAATTGTGCAAGCAACTGACTCCTGAAGGAAGTGTTCCCGGGGACTTGAGTGAGGAAAGGAAGTCAGGCAAGGGTGCGATCCTAAGAAATCCTGCCAAGGATGGCTTCAGATTGGTCCCCAGAGGAGCTTTGGGGTGTGAGTTATGTTTCAGGGTTGTACCAACCCGAGACGAGGGAGCTGGCCTCTCATACTCCGGCCTTTGGGGCTATGTTAACTTTCAAAACAACTCTCCTAGGCCAGGCCCTCCATGAGAGCTTCAGGTGTACCCCCATCCTTGGAAGGCACACAGAGACAATAAGTGATCCCAAGGGGTCTGGGCAGAGAGCACTGAGGTCCCCCCCACCTGCAGGTATCACCGCCCAGGTGGATGTGGAGTTGTAACTTTGCATATCCACGCTTTCTGTCTGACAGTGATTACTATCAGCCACGCTCAGCTGCCCTGGTTTGAGTGCAGAATGACTTTTGGAAAGGTCAGTGAGATGATGCGTGTGGCCGGCCCAGCCCTCTGCCTGCCCTATGATGAACACTCAGTAACTGTTCACAGCAGCAGCTGCTGTGGCCCGCGCTGGCTAGCCCGCTCCTGAGAAAGCACACGTGGGTCTAGGAGTCAGAAGACACATTAACTAACCAATGGCTCTTTCCAGCCTGCTGGAGTCCTCCCTAGATACAAGCAGATAGTGTCAGACAAGAGTGAAAGCAGAACCAAGCCCAAGGATCATTCTTAAAAGGACCTTATTAGCCAGGAGTTGTACAACTGATTGAGAGGTCTGAGGTTCAAATCCATCAGTCAATCCATGGGGGGAAATGAGGGCAGTCGCTTTTGACTTTATTTTTTTTTAATGTCTGAAATAGATGCACAGCATTGGAAATTTGGTGGAGGACACCATCAGTTAGAGCTGACTCTAGAATTCATTCTAGAGCGGTGCTTTAACCCAATTGGGGGTCTGTGGAAATTGCGGAGAGGCTCACAGCTCACATTTCCTGTGCATATATTTGCAAACACATCTCAAGTTTTGGCAAAATCATGAGGGTCCCAGACGGGTACAGGCCTGGCCTGGAGCATTGTGCCTTACAGCTTCTTGTTGGGATGCACTTGACTTAGACACATGAAGATAAAGAACGGTGTCCCAGGTGTCCTTCTGGTGAATCTGGGACTAGACAACAAGCCCAAGGAACAATGTTGACCAGAACCAGGCTGATTTTAAAATGAAGTCAGGGGTGGTGCTTCCTGCTGAGGGGCAGACGCGGAGGTAACTCCCAAGCAGAGTCCGGCAAAGGAAGCAGTTCTCTCGGACTTCGCTTAACAATTCTTAGAGAAAAGCAGTTGGAGTTGGGTTTTAACCACTTGATCTGAGGGGTCCCCCATGTGTCAGGCACTGTGCTGAGGGCCCCAGGTTCCCCTAGAGAACACCACGGGCATCGTTTGCCCTGAGTTAAGAGTTACTATCAAGTCACGTCAGACTCCGGATGACGCGATGTGTTTCAGAAGAGAACCGTGTTCCACAGGGTTTGTGATGGGAATGGCCTTTCAGAATTAGACGGCAGAGCTTGCCGAGATGGGGTGAGTGCGGTGTGGGGATTCCTTATGAGTCTCCTTCAAAGCTGTCCTTCAACTCAGCCTTGTAAATCAAGACATGTTCTTTAATCAGCCAGTGGGGATTCTCAAGCAGTAGGTCTGGGACAGCTCAATCTACAACATTGACTAAATGTTTTTACACCACTAGCCAGCCTCCTGCAGGGAGAGCAGACCTGTGAATGCTGCCAGGCCAAGGGGAGAGCCTCGCTTCTTTGAGGAAGCCTGAGCTCAGTTCCCGGCTGGGGGCAGTTTGCTCCTGCTTGAGTCTGAGTGTCAAACCCCCACCAGAGTCATGGACTCAGGGTCACTTGGTAAGAAAACTCTGCTCAGCCTCTCCCAGCACACACACTGGGGGCCTCCCCAGGAACCTGTTTGTGACAAGGAGGGGGCTGCTGTTAGTCTAATTATGCAGAGCAGCAGATTAGGTGAGCAGAACCTGTAGTTAAAAGCTGGCATCGTGAGGGAGAAAGAAAAGGCAGATATGTTAGCGCTCACTCAATTCTGACCGTTTCACCAGCTTCATCATCATTCAGAAGCTCTCAGCTGAGGCAGGAGCTCACCTCTCCAGAACATTCTAGTCGAATCGCACAGTGGACTCCAGTTTTCACCCTTTCTGACTTGTGAGTTTGTGGTGGAAACCCTTAAGTGACTCCCTCTGGCAACATTACTGCAGTCTGCTTGGCTTGGGCTTCTAGTTAATGTATCCAACAAGGTTTTAACCTCTGTCTGGAGAATCAAAGTGCTTTTTAACTATGAAAAAGAACTTTGTTGAGATGGAGTCAAATAATGGCCTTAAAAAAAGATCCCCTCACCTTAATTTGCACAGGACCTGAGAAAGCTTGGAGTAGCCACCAAGTGAGTCCTGGACCTTCTCAAAGAAGACACCTTAAAGTCTTAGGAGCAGGACGCCTTTGGAGGAAAGCGCCATGGCCATTCGCATCCGCGTGATCTCGGGTACATGCCTGGGATCCCTTATCACTGATGCCACTGAAAGTGTGACCAGGCAGCTCTTCCGCAGGTCTGTCAGTATCAGCAGGGACAGTCCCTGGCCTTTGTCCTAGAAAACCCAATAGGAGCCTCCCCCGACCCAATCATGTGTAGCAAATAGGTTAAAAACAAAATACCACTCCTGGCAACATCTGGGACCTGAGAGCATAGCAGATAGTAGATGCCTAGGAGGATATTTGTACAGGAAGCTGTCTGTTGGACACGAGCAAAGGGATTTTTTTTAAGGTCATTCTATTCCTTTTTATTGCAGGATGGTGGCTAGGTGAAAGTAATAACATATGCATTAAATTACAGCCTAAACAGGGCAACAGGTGAAATGCATGGCTGGTTCCAACTCTTCCCAAAGTTTCAAGGTGCTACAAATTACTATTATGTGCAAATGGCCCTTCACAGAGAAAAAACAGAAAGCCAGGTGTCTTTTCAGAATTGCAGGGATACTTTGTTTTGATAAGGAGAACAACAACACAGGAACATGTTTTCTGAATCGAAGAATGACTGAAGGGAAGTTACAGAGCCGCACAGGGCCAAAGTGAACTTTGCAGATTGTCTTCTGATTGGCAGCACGTGAGAGGATCTAATGGGCAGTTTCTCCCACAGTGCAATGCTTTGTAGCACAAATGAACTAGGTCTCAGACTTTGTTAAGATTTCTTTTGTGAAAGCCGGTATGCATGGTGTGATTGACAGAATGGGTTTAAACGTTTTCTGAGTGATTACTGCATGGCAGGGCACCACCCACCCTCTTTTCACTTCCTGGTTTTTACTGATGCATCCACCTACCTTTCTCTGGAGGACTTTTAGTGGGAGGAATGTTCCTCTCCACCATTTCACGTGTGTTAAGAGTCTGCGTCATCACGTCTAATTCACTTGCACTGTTTTGGAAATGCCAGGTTTACAAAAAATACATGTTTGGAATAAAAGAAAAATATGACTGCAGATGATTCCAGCGTTTGCTC